TACTAAAACAACTATGATGTCAAACGATCCAAAAATAAGAAAGAAAATAAAAAGGCAAGAATAAAATACAAGAAATTAAAAGAAAAAAGAACATTGATCAAGAATAAGTCAATGACAATCTCGTCATAAACTTGAACATGAAAATGATAAATAACATTTTGAAATGTGATTACTGTTTTGTGGAACTCACATATATTTTCGAAGAAAATAGTGAGTGTAAGTTTTAAGGTCAAGTTTTTTGCGGCTCTCCTCTCCTCCCTCCTATCGCAGACATCACCATTACAGACCATAGCAACTTCGCCAAAAAAAGAAAGAATTTCTGTTCGAAATATAGAGATAAAAAAGACAGCATTTTCTAATAATCGATTATCTTTAGAAAAGAACTATTATCTTTTGGAGAATTTAAATATTGGATATTTTGTGACCGGTATAATGAAATCAAAGAAGATATGTGAGTTCCACATTTCAGCCCCATTGGAGCTGCGCTAACAAGCTTTTTGTTTTTGTCTAGGTTTTCGAGTTGTTTTACTATAAAATATAATTATGAATGTGACACTTGATTATTTTTTGATTATAGTGAAAATATTCGGAGATAAATGCTTTCGGATCGTAATGATACAAGACAATTTGTGACAATCATTTGTCAAATAATGATTATCTGAAATATTTGAAAAAAATAAAAACATCAGTCAAATTTTCTACTTTAAAATTCATTTAATTATGCATTGACAATATTTGTTTTGCATCTTAGTTATTAAACAACAATTTTACCTTGAATTATTCAAAGAAAAAAATTAAATTGACGGTAATGAGATAGATCGAACATTATATACGAATGTAATTTATGAAAATGTCTCTGATAAATAGCAATGCTACATTGAAATTGACGAAAGTGCACAGAATGTATTGATGACAGCCCGTTTGGGGTGGATGTCGGTGCGGATAAGGGAGTGGGATGTGATGTACTTGAAATGACATCCACACCCTTGCACCAACCTCCCCGTCCCCTTGCTGGGGTGTGGATGTGAGTGTGGGTGTAGTGCAGAGCAGATGAAAACCCACAAACACACCCACACCCACACTCACACCCACACCCACACTCACACCCACACCCGCACACCCACATCCACACTCACACCCACACCCACACCCCACACCCACACCCACCCACACCCCACACCCACCCACATCCACATCCACATCCACACCAAAAATTCTATTGATTATCAAGATTAAATTCGATTTTAATTGATTGAAAGTTACAAATTTGATTTTAAACGATACAAATTCATGAAAATTGGCTGCAGATTTTTTTCAATTCTTGTTATGAAAAAATCAAGGAAATATAATTATCCTATTGAGATTTAATCGATTATAATCGACATTAATCTTAATTATGAATAGAATATCGATTTGTTTTGATCAAATTTGATTGAAATCGAGTAAGAATCGATAAAAAATGCTTACAAACCTATGATTAGAATTGATTTTTAATCATTTTCCAATCACTTTGCTTCTGAATTCTTATCTTAATTTTTTTTTACATCGATATATAGAAGAAATATCACAAATATTTCATATTCTAGTTCTAACAATACAAACTTCTTGTGTTTAATAGGCTAAGTCCGATGACAATATTCTTCATGATTTGTGAGAAAATAAGTAAGGTCTAAGTGTTTTATTAATACTCTTAACTTCATTCTTTCACCGTTTCTATAATAATTGGTGGCTTGAATAGTCCTCGCATCTTAAAGACTGACATGGGATCTGTATTCTGGCATGTTTATATTGGTTTTAAAACAAATTGATTGATTAAAAAATTTAATAGTTCCATCATCAACAGATAGATGCAAATCTGATAAGAATATTCAAGATGATGAGTTTGATGGACAATCAGACATAGTAAATGTTATTGAATTAATAACTCAAAGTCAATTGATGTAGAAAAATATCTATTCCACAAAACATATAAATTTATGTTAACCAAATTCTATCACAAAAAACAAAAACTGTATCAGGAAAAAGACTGCTTCAGGAAGTGTATAAACTGTTTGAAAATCTAATTGATGAAAGATACCGATGTGCATTGTGTACCAATGATCGAATCATGACTTGATTTATTTCTCTTTTATAGCTGGAAGTATTTTTGCAAAATCAAATCGTCCATGATGAAATGAATGTTTTGTGCCCTATAATTGTGGAAATGCTTAGGAGTAGCACATACTAAGGAAACATTTACAAAACAATAATCATGATAATGAAAAACAAAGGCTCAAAGCATAAAATTAAATTTTTTAATGTTCATACTAAAGTATTAGAATTTTCCCAACACTAATTCTAAGTCAACATCCCTAAATCAGAATTTTTCTATATTAAACTAAAAGTAAATCTTTAAAAGACCCGAAAATTTCCTCTAAATAGGTAAAATCTTACTTTTATGAGACTGACCACACTTCCTCAAGACATTAAAGAAACTCATAAAATGCATAGTACAGGGTCGGAAAGAATATTATTCAAGGGGGGTAACGATATAATCCCGAATAGGAGGTATGATGAATTTTATACCAAATGAAAGCCCGTGAAAAACGGGGTTTAGTGATGCTAAATACAAAGGCTTTGGAAAACTTTCATACATCAAACCCATAAAAAGACTGCGTTTTGTTGAAAAAAAATTATTATAACTCATTTTTAATGAGTTTCAAGATATTGAAAATGAAGAGTTTTAAAGAAAAAAAATCACAGAAGGTTATGGTAACGATTAGAAAACACAACTATAATTCAGAAAACAAGATGATTCTCTTGCGTTCTTTTGTTTACTACTTGTAATTTTAGTTGTTCTATCAAAGATTTTTTTCTTTTCGTTCTGCACGAAAGTCATAGTGGAGAGAAATTTTGGAGATACATCGTGGGATATAAAAGATAATTTTCTTATCGATATGTATCATAATAAAATTCATCGTCTCGTTAAATCATCACACTTTTGTTATTTCAAATGGCTGGTGCTTATGATACTGAACAACAGAGAATGATTGACAGGATCAAGTGCATCGCTTTTCGTGAAGCTCGCGATGCTGGTGCAACATTTATAAATAGACAATGGATTGCGGACAAAATTCATCGCATAACTCGATTTGTCTCGGAGTGGTGGGAAAAATCATATGACCAATGCTTTGCTGATTATTCAAATGTTGGTGCTAAACCTAAATTATCAGAAGCTAGTCGAGAAATTATTCGTCAAGCAAGTGGTCAACAAAGAAAAAGCGGTCCTGTTGTGGCAAAGGAGATTGCAGAAAAGCAAAAAGAATATGCCACCGGAAGAACAATTAATAATTACCGTCACAGAGAAGGATTAAAACCGTTTCATGTTATTCCAAAACCGTTAAAATCTGAAACTCATATATCAGATCGATTATGGCTCTGTGACTGGTTAAAAGATTGGACTGTAGAAGATTTTCTTCATCTGGCACCATCTGATGAATTTTATATTTGGACTGTCCGTCGACCAAATTATCAGAATGATAGGATCTGGGCGAAAAGTATTGAAGACGTTACTGAAGATGAAAGATATCGTGAAATGGTAAAAAACCAATTATGTGTTGGAGTTTTTATAATGTTTACTTGCAAAAGATTACTATGGATTATCAAAGATAAAGGGGAATCTTGGACAGGTCAATATTTTCGCGATATTGTTTTGATTGAAAATGTAATTCCTTTCTTAAAAAATGAAGAAAATGTTATTGATCATGATGAAGTTATATTTGTTCACGATAAAGCACCGTGTATGCGAGCAAATAAAACTCAACATTTGCTCCAAGACAACGATGTCAAATTTTGGGGTAATGATATCTGGCCAGGAAATTCACCTGATCTCAATGTGGCAGAACACATCGGATCAATAATCAAAGATGAAGTTGAAAAAAAAAATGTCATCGGAAAGTGGACATAATCGATATCTTGAAGAAACGCTCAAAATGCACGTCGCAAATGTTTTAGCAAGCATGGAAGAAGATACTGAACTATTTGAAACTCTTCTATGCTCATATCCATCTCGATTTCGTGCTGTAAAAAATGCTAATGGTCGTCACACAGATTATTGATTATATTCATTAAAGAATAAAAAAAGAAACTATTTTCTAATGCCTTTAATTCGAATACTATATGATAAACTAGTTTTCTCATGACTTTCATGGATGAAAAATCGGAACTTTTCAGAGTTTGACATGTGAAAGTTTTCCAAAGCCTTCGTATTTAGCATCACTAAACCCCGTTTTTCACGGGCTTTCATTTGGTATAAAATGCATCATACCTCCTATTCGGGATTATATCGTTACTCCCCTTGAATAATATTCTTTCCGACCCTGTATAGTAGTGTAGTGTTTCCTCTACAAGATGGTGCAAGAATGGCGTATCTGCTTAAAAATAGGAGACATGATGGAGAATCATTTTGCCTGAAAATTCGACAGTCGAAAAAATTATGATTTTTTTTTGGAAAATCTCTGTTGCTTCTAAAAGGTAATTCAAAGATATCGTTTTGTACAAAATTAATTTCTGTATCTTTCAGTATATAAAATAAAATTTTATAGAACACCTCAACCAAAATTTCATTTACGTTTTTGTCATCCAAAGAAAATTTTTCAGTCTTTTAAAGATATACTTCTAGCTCAATAGCCTAAAGTCATAGGAAAATTTCGATTCTAGTTCACTACTTCTCCTTGCATTTAAATGTGTGAAAAACAGTCAACATTTTCTGACCACCCGTTATTTTGAGTTTGTGATGGTTCGAATCTCCGATTAAGTGCTGTCTACTTAATTGTATCTGATTTTTTTAATTGAATCCAGTTATTTCTCAAAACGAAGTCTTTTCTTCTTTGAACATATATCATGTATCAATGATCAAAAAGTTTATTTTGTTCAAAACAAAATAGCTTATACAAAGTATTATGATGATATCTTCTATAGTATTCCAGATGTTGCTTCAATGTAAGAAGAAAACAAACTGATCAATGTGTTTTTATTCTTTTAACTGAATTTTCATCCAGTTTATCAGTGTAAGTAGTTTGTGTTGTTAACATTGCTTGATCTTGTACGATTGAAACTTTCATGTCAAGTAATTGCTGTCTTAACCTAAAATATTCTTTATGTTTTTGACTGGTTTCTTTTGTTATTTCACGATTTAACATAGTTAAACACAATTCATATAAAGAAATAAACCATGTTGACGACAATGGACTTCTAAACAATACAAAAACAAACAATATTAACAATCTGCAATGATCAGTGTCATCAATATCGTATGTCTGTTCGGGCTATTTCGACATTGTGTTTTATTGAGAAATTTTTCACATATATGTCGGAGTAGAAAGATGTAGTTTTAAAATCTACTAGAGAATTATACATGATAGAATGAAGATCATCTATAATGAAAAATTTAAAAGAAGATTTGCCATAGCAATCTTTCAGCACTAGTATAAACTGATTGAGGCGCATATTCAGAAATTTTCTAAGTGAAAGAGTTCCAACATGGCAAAATCTTTTTATCACTGTGCACAAAACGCTTTTTCTCGTACCCTCTACTGGTTGTTCTTCGACTGAGCAAAGGGTTCAGAGTTCCCCATTGCTTTTGGAAGTAGAAGGGAGGTCTAAAAATTTGGTAGAAAGTCGATGTTTTTCGGAAAAAAAACAGCAATCTTCCTTGTGTGAGAAGTTTAGCAGAAAGTACTACATTTGATTTAATTTTATTTCAGCAAATGCAAAAGCTTTCCACTGAACTGAACTCATACTTCTCCAAATCAGGACTTAAAATGAAATTTCGAACGATATTTTTGATCCAAACATTCAATGTGTCTGTCGAGTTCAGAAGAAAACAGTTCTATTTTTATGCTATTCGAAATTTTTTCTTTGATATTATAATAAGACATTCAATTTGAGTGTACAAACATTTCTTTTTTACATATTAAGTCACTCATATCAATAATCAAAATTATACGCTATCACAATTTTTCCTAGTAGAATTTTAATTTCTACTCCGACATGTACGTTAAAATATGCATAATTCGACGAAAAAACTTTATGACACATATATGAAATGATTAGACAAAGTCTTATTTGATACTTTTATTTCGGTATTTGTCACAAATTTAAAATGGTACACATATAACAAAGACTTGTTTGAAAAATAAAATTTTTAGTTCTATATAACAATGAATTCTGTATCAGATGAGTGTATAAGACAAATCAGAGATGAAAACGATACCACACTCAAGCAGATAAGAATTCTGAAAAAAACATGTTCAAACGGGAACTACGATTGTCAGTGCTTAGCGCTCACTAAAAGACGTATTTTTTTGTAACTTTCTCCGTGACGAAACGGCTAAAATTCAAGCTTTTGAATGTTTAAACGTTTTATTATTCTAGAGATTAATCAATATTGCGTTTTTACTCTCAAAAATTAGAGTTTTTACTGTTTTGACGTTCAGAAAGTTACAAAAAACGTGTTTTTTTCAGAAATTTTGCTTGTTTGAGTAGTCTTGAAAAATCCAGACCGGTTTCATCTCTGACACAAGTTTTAAAATGATTCCTAATTGATAAATATTTTCTTTTCATATGGACATAAATTTCAATATAATTCTTATTGTTAAGAAAACTAGGTGAAATGATCATATTCGTTTCTTTTTGACACTATTCTAACATCTTTAGATAAAGCAAGTATCTCGTTTTATTTGACATAGTGAAAAAAACAAACATAACTATCAGGATTTCTTCTTTTATTAAATTTTTATCTGTTGTTTTGTTGTAAAAGTAACTTACGTTGAATGATTTGTCGATGAAGAACTATCGTTCCAAATTTTGATTAAATACGATACTAATATTGATTCTAAAAAGTTTTCGATAAAAATTTTATCTGAAGATCTAATCATTTCAGACCGAAGAGCTTTTTCAATAGTTGTAGAAATTATCTGTAATGATGACAAATACTCTTTCTCATATACACTCAATAAATGTAATAGAGAACAATAATCAATTAATTTCAATGGTTTTCTTTTATATTTTAAACCAAAAGCATGTTTTAAAAGTTGATTGATCATTGTATGACTTGAAATTGTGGTTGTTTTATTAACTAAAAGATTCAAAAAAGCATAATATACTCAATGAAACATTTTAAAGGTCATAGATACATTTTTCTCTGATATTTAATTCATTTGAAGTTAATCCTTAAAAAGCCCAAGGAAGTTTCCGTGACAATTTGAATAAAAAAGCCATCGGAACTGAGCTTCAGATTCATCAGTATAATTATATTGTAGTAAAAAGACAAAATTTACTTTCTCTTATGGAAATATAGAATGTCTCTTGGAAATTACGTTCGATTGTAACGGTCTAAAATTTTTCACTATTTTCAGTTTATGTAAAAAAGAGTTTTTCTTTGTTTATTATTATTCAAAACAACGAATTAAATCAATACTATACACTACCTATTCTAATACAAGGCTTGTTCAAACTCAATGTCCCTTGAAAGGAATATTTTCTTCATGATATAATAATGCATTAACAAATAGATTAAAAAATTTAGAGATGATCTCATTCGATAATCTTATACTGTGCCATGCAATGTCACTCAAAAAGTGTGTAAAAGTTTTAAGATACAAAAAATTCTGTGTCTTAAAAAGTCTATTATTTCACTCAAGATTGATCTTTTTCTATTCAGGTTATCATCTTAGTCCTAAATAGTGGCGTATCCAGGATTTTTTCGCATGCTGGATTTCATATTTAGAGCATAGGATCCAGGTGAAACTTATAGAGATATGATATTGAACTGAAATGATGAGTTTTTATTGAAAGATTTTTGCAATAGGAGTTTGCGAAAAAAATTAGCATTTTCCTGATCCCCATCAAGATTTTTGTTTTACTATTTGTCGTATTCTTTTTTTTAGAATTTAGTAGTAAACTACATCAAAATTCATCGATGGATTTCAAATTTCATGTAAAAATCTGCATCCGTTCAAGAGTTATAACGTTTTGAAGGTTCGCTAAAATATTCGCAGTATGCAACAAAAATTCAAAACGTTATAACTCTTGAACGGATGCAGATTTTTACATAAAATTTGAAATCTATCGATGAATTTTGATGTAGCTTACTACTATATTCTAAAAAAAAGAATACGACAAATAGTAAAAGAAAAACCTTGATGGGGCTCAGGAAAATGCTAATATTTTTTGCAAACTCCTACTGCAAAAATCTTTCGATAAAAACTCATCATTTCAGTTCAATATCATATCTCTATAAGTTTCACCTGGATCCTATGCTCTAAAGATGAAATCCAGCATGCGAAAAAATCTTGGATATGCCACTAGTCTTAAAGAAAACACTCAATCTTATATATAAAGTTTTATTGAGATTTTTTCAATGTTCCTTGGAAGAGACATTGAGTTTTAAAGTATTAATATCTATCTCATTAGAATCATTTTGATCTTTTATGTTCATATTAATAATATATGATAAGAAAAAAATCAGTTTCTGTCCTTTGAATATTTTATTCTCTTTTTATTATGAGAACCTTGTCAAGTGTCATTCTCACATAATTTACATAAATCAATTGTCTACGAGACTTTATTCAGACAAAATTCTAAGTTCAACTACATTTGGAATGTTCACATCAATGAAGACGAAAATTTCAAATCTTCATAAATTTTACTTCTTAAGATGTAGTCTTTTGAGAAAATTCGGATACAAAAGATGTGTATAGTCCGAGATTAATGTCATTTTTTCTATCATAAAAAGAAATGGTCAATTTGAGCTAGAAAAACCAGTAAAATAACTCGATCTAATTAACGGATGGCGTAGAAGAAATTACCGACTTTTTTTAGTAGACTGTTTTCTAAAGTTAGACTAGATGATAAAGTTTCGTTCTTATGTGAAAAAGTAGAAAATTTTATTGATATATCCTTTGCAAAATGGACATTTGTCCTCCTCATGTAGTATCAAAGGTATTCGAATGATACATATTTTTGTTATCTATTGGTTTTACAAGAACAAATCTTTTGATATCAACGAATGCAGATTTTCAAGTTCTACAAAATATAAAGGATGAACTCCTTTTTTTTAAAACTACTAATGAGACTAAGATCTTTTGTCTGACATAAAAAAGAATTAAAACTGAACCATCAGGCATTTTTCGTATGACGAAATTTCATTCGTAGATTTCGTGTTGGAGCTTAAAAGCAGATACGTCTCTGTATGGAAAACCATTTAATAATACCTTATTCTCGTAAATTGCTTAGCAAACTATGTTTTTGTGGTATCTCGTACTTACAATATTACAAGAGAAGACCAAATGCCCATTTTTCAAAGAACATATCAATAAAGTTCTCTCTCTTTTGACATCAAAACGAAATTTTCTCATTCAGTTTAACTTTAGAAAATAATTAGTTTATTAAAAGCCGACAATTTCTTCTGCACCATTCGTTACATATCTTTTAGCACAAATACAAACAAAATAAATTAAATAGAAATTTTACGTACAACAATTTCTATGTTCCTAAGTAAATTAAAACGATTAACATACTTGAAATAAAAGAGATTAAAAATTTCACAGATTGTGCAATAGTGTTTCTTTTTAAAGATATTTTAAATGCATCATAGATATAAATTCCAATTTGATGCCAACCAATTACATTACCAACGTTGTATATTATATTGTGCATACTCTCGTACCAAAATAGACCTTGAGTAAATGAATGATTTTTAATTGTTGAAATAAGAGCATTTAAAACAGATTGATTATCATCGAGTTTTAAATTATATAGCAATAATAGGGAATTAAGCAATTCTCTTGAATCAAAATTTTCAAGATATTCATATCTTCGTCTGTTCATACGATATAAAATATAATTAACTAATTCAATACATGCTTGTTTTAGTTTTATTTGATTTTCATCATTTTTTACAGCTTGACACATTTTATAAAATCCATCTAGTATGAAATCATCGTTGAGTAAACACCATTTCCAATTATATGGAATTAATAATAAAATACCCATACGATACCAATATTTCTCTATGGTGCCTTCATTACCTAAAGTAAACAATAAAAATAATAGTGAATTTTGATAGACAAAATTATGCATTGATTGGATACAACATTGTCATTTAATCGGTTATGAATCGAATTTATCATTTGTTAGCAGAAGCTATTTTCATATTAATTATTTGAGATTTATTGAAAAGTCGATTTTTTCAAACAATATGTTTGTACTTATCTTTTAAGGGATGTATGTACTTAAAAGTAACTCGTGATTCGAAAATTCTAATTGGTTAAAATAAATATAGAATTATGATTGTATTAGTTTTTATTGTATTGATTTCAAAAATTCAACTGAAACAGTTCTCTTGCAGTAAACCATAATTACTTTTCCATCTCATTATTTATCTGTATTTAACACATATAAATATGAGTATTTCAAATTTGTCATAAACTTGAAATCAGCCAAACAGTAAAAGAAGTCATTTGTCGGTGAGAGCGTCTCTTTTCTAATCATCACTATGATGATGTATACTGTACGAATACGGTACTGTATAATGGATATCAATTAGACGTGCTTATCCAATTTATATGTAAATGTCAATAAAAAGTTGATCGTTGATATTTTTCCTTCGTATCATGGAACTTATTTTAGATCGATTTGACAGAGAATTTTCCGTTGGTGCAAAATTTAAATCATTGAACTGATTGTCTGTACTCGTCATAACTGATGGTAAAAGTGAAGCATATGACACAAAGAAATAGAAAATAGTAGACTCTCTACTTTCATCACTAGTGTAATCATTTAGAATGGAAAGGCTTTGTACCAGTACCTAATGATATTTAGACATACACTTTTAGAAAGTTCTTTTTGTAAACGAAGCTAGATCTAAAATATGTTAATTGTAGGATTTATATGTTACTGAGTTGAAAAATGTTCTTAGCATTTTTTCTTTAAAAAAAATACTTTCGGAAATATTTCCATTGAGCTTCTGAAGATTACAGAATTTTATAACATATTTCAAATTTCAGCACAAATAATGGTTCCATCATTTTTTTTCAACAGACAAAGTTAGACGATGGAACAGATGTTTATCTTTTAAATTTTGCATATTCTCTCGAGTCTCAATCACTAAGATATCATCTGATTTTTGTATTATATTAGTTTGTAGCGCATTTTCAAAACAAATTATTCAAAAGATCGACAATCTACTGTATTGTAAATTAAATAGATAGCATTGCTAACACAAAGCGCACAATTATTCTACAATGTTTTAAGGTTATTTGAATTATTTAGAATTTTCAAGAGCATTGTTGTTAAATATCAAAAATTTACCTGTTTCTTCTTCGACGATTTTGAATGGTTCTAATGATTTCCATTCTGGTTCTTTATTTATAAAATCTGTTTCATCAACTGAGATAACAGATGTTCTAGGCATATGAAATATTTCACATATTTTTTGAAAATAATTGTCATTTATTTCATATAGAGGTTTTAAATTTTCAACATCTGTGTCTCCAATTGTTCTCTCTAGTGGATCATTTGAGTTATAAGCTTCTTCATTTTTTGGAATTTTATAATACAACATTCCACAATATAATAAATACTTTTGATTTGAATCATTTTTGTTTAACCCTTTCGTTACGGCATGTCATCTCGTAGATGACATGGAGAACGGAAAGAAAAAATTTTGCGTTCTGATATCTTCCTACATGATACAAATCATCTGTGTGTGCACATGAACGAGTGTATTCTTCTTTTCGAAAATTTTTTTTTCGCACTGAACGAATGAATATATAACTCGTGTCCAGCTGATTATCGAGAGCAGAACGCAAGAGAGAGCGAAATGGAGATTTTTTTCGAGTTGGTACAGAACGAAAGAAAATTTCAGTAACGAAAGGGTTAATTCTGCTATTGAATGTTTCAATAAACTAGCAATTGTGTGATCTTTACTTTTTAATAAATTTGGCGACATATTTGCTTTTGTCTAAAATATGTTGAAATTTTATTTAAAAAAAAACAAAACTCAACATCAAGAGAATGATAAACTACTTACATATTTATGTTTTAAAGGAATAATTAATTTTGTTGGACTATTCATAGTTTTAGACCATTTTATTAAAGCTTGACAAACATTTTGAACATATTTTTCATTTAAAGGAGGAGATGGTATTTTTGCACATAAATGTGATTTTTTTTTATTGACGACAATATTATAAACTAATGATAAACGATAGCCATCTGTTATTGGAAGAATTTCATGTTC